TATCATTTTAATATTCTTTAATATTCATATGTTTTACATATGAAAGTGGTATGTTTTTAAGTAGACAACACTGTTTACAGTATACTTATACATATAAGCATATATGTATATTACATACTTATATATATATTGTATATACTTATACTTTTACTATTGCCTATTTTCTGCATTTGTTTCTATTTCTCATTTCTCCTACCCAGTCTAATTTTGAGAAAAAATCATTTTCCACTACAAAATTTTTCCACTGATGGAATCTGATTGCCAGAAGTAATAGTCCTAAGTCTTGAACCTGGAAAGATATAGGTGTGAAGCTTAACCCTCTCTGCCCACGACACTTCTGCTCCTTTCTTTTCAGCTTTTCTTATCAAGACACCAGACACTCCACTCTGGAGGTTTACTAATACCCAAGAGAAGACAAAATTATGACACAGCTATTGTCATGACTAAAGTTCAACTATGCCGGGGAAGCAAATTCCCTAAACAAGTCTGTTTCTCCCTATCACACTAATACATACATAGTTGTATATATAAGATATATTTGTATCTATGTTCACAAATATATCATACATTCCTATACACTTTTTTTTCCCAACCAACACAGCTTTCTAAGTAATATGGAACCTATAAAATGCGACCTTTGATTCTTCTAGAAACCTTATTGGATTGTGATATGGAAAGGTGGGCCTAGTGTGAACTTTTGCCCCATATGCAAAGAAAAGTTAAATGTCTCTGCATTTAAAAAAAAAAATAGATTTTGGGGGACAATCAGAAAGGAGAAAAAGAAAAAGGGAGAAAGGCACAGAAACAATCAGATTATATGAGCCTGGTACTCCTCTGTGATGGTAGCCAAATGCACTTTAAAGATTTTAGAGATGCCTAATATTCAACATCAACACTCCTGGTATTGCTATAGCATAAACCATTTCTCTCACTCTTTTCTCCAAATCTTCCAGAAAGCGTACCAAACCCACAAAGGCTCCCTCCCCACCCCCCTTCCATTCTTTGCTATCTCCTGTTGGATACATCTATCCAACAACTTCATCACAGACACCTCAACCATCCATTAGCAGTTGACTGGGTTGTTTTTATCTGCTCCTTCTCATATCTTCTAACATTCCATTAGCTCATTAATGTCGTCATCAGTAAAGAAACAACTAATATTTATTGAGCTCTTGTAATGTACTAGGTACTCTGCCAAGGGCATTACATGCATAATTTCATTTGATCTTCAAAACCTACTAGACAGGTACTGTGATCATTTCTGAAACATTAGGAAACCAACACTCAGTCAGGATGGTAATCCTGAGGGTAACAGAATTTAACCCTTGTTCTGATTCCACAGCAAACTTAACCAGTACACTCCAATGCCTCCACTCAAAAAACCTAGGTGCTATCCCTCTCTCATTAATCATATCTACAATAGTCACTAACCTAATCCAACCAATATACCTTCTAAAAGACACATCACTTGTACTTCCACTGCCTGCACAGAATAACAACTCACATTTACTAAGTCCTAACCATGTGCCAAGGATTATTCTAAGCAATATACATGTTTTTCCAAGTTTCATCCCCCAAACCCTATGGAATAAAGAACCCAAGGGGAAAAAAGGGTACAGAGAGAGAGAGTGACACAGCCAGATTCAAAACAAGACAATGTGAATCGAGAAGCCCTGAGCACTTACCACCTATAGTGTAACAGCTCCTGTTTTGTCTCCTTAACCCCCATCTGGACCTCACTATTCTCCTCTGCTGCAGATACCTTTCTGAAATACAAATGTCATCATGACATTCTCCTGATTAAAGTCCAATTTTCTTAATTTGCCAGACAAAATCCTTCATGTTTCTGTTCAATTCAGTTCAATAAATATTTGAGTGCCTGCTGTGAGCAAGACAAAGTGCTCTGAAAGGAGTATACACCAGCCCCTGACTACCACACCAACCCCAGACACTGTGTGCTTCAGCCACATTAACTACATGCAGATCTCATAATGCAATACCCTATACCCTATATTAGTCTCTCTGCTTAGAATGTACCTGGCAAAATTCCACAATGATCTGAAGTGGGATTCTGACTACGTTAGTTTCCCTAACAAACTCCAGGCAGAAATGCTTCCTCTTAAGTTCCCACAGCACTATGCTCAAATTACTTTCAGGCAGCCAGTGGAATAGAGGTATGGATCAGCTTCCAAATGAGACCACAGCAACTTAGGGCAAAAGCTGACGCCTGCCATCAATGCCTGGCATGCTGTAGGCACTCTACCATTTGCTGAATGAATAAATAATGAAATATACCTAATTTGATGGGAAAGGAGAGGAACAAGATACAGAATTAGGAATGTTAAGACACAACTGGGCCAAATTAAAAGTAGTATGATTCTATTTTTGTGCTGATTTGACCTACATTTTATCCCTATGGAAAAACTCACATGTGTGACTTGGACAAACTTAAAAGGCAAAACTTTGCCCTAGCTCCGTGGTCGGCAAACTGCGGCTCTCGAGCCACATGAGGCTCTTTGGCCCATTGAGTGTGGCTCTTCCACAAAATATCACCTGAGCGGGTCTATTTTGAAGAAGTGGTGTTAGAAGACGTTTAAGTTTAAAAATTTGGCTCTCAAAAGAAATTTCAATCGTTGTACTGCTGATATTTGGTTCTGTTGACTAATGAGTTTGCCAACCACTGCCCTAGCTGGTTTGGCTCAGTGGATAGAGCATCAGCCTGTGGACTAAAGGGTTCCAGGTTTGATTCCAGCCAAGGGCACATTTCGGCTTGATTCCTCCCAGCCCAGTCGGGGACGTGCAGGAGGTGGCCAATCAATGAATCGCTCTCATCATTGATGTTTCTATCTCTCTCCCTTCCTCTCTGAAATCAACTTAAAAAAATAAAAAGGAAAAGCTTTGTTATTCATTGCATAACAAAGTTTTGACAGGCCAAAAAGGATACTAGATCAAAGTCTATTTTTGAAAAGGGCATGAAGATAGGAATCAAATTAATTAAAGGAAATAAAATTGAACTACTGAGGTCCAACTTAGTGCTGTGTCACAGTACATTCAAGAAATAATAGAAAACAAAATCTGTCCTGGAAATGAAAGTCAGCTTACAAATAAGTACTACTTACTCGGCAAGAACGGGAAACTTTTATTTATTTATTTTTTATTGATTTTTTACAGAAAGGAAGGGATAGGGACAGAGAGTCAGAAACATCGATGAGAGAGAATTATCAATCAGCTGCCTCCTGCACACCCCCTACTGGGGATGTGCCCACAACCAAGGTACATACCCTTGACCGGAATCGAACCTGGGACTTTTCAGACCGAAGGCCAATGCTCTATCCACTGAGCCAAACCGGCTTCGGCTAGAATGGGAAACTTTTAAAGTGCAGGCAGTTCCCCAGAGCTCATCATTGCTTTTCACTCAACCTCATTTCATGTTTCTGTGATTTAAAAAGAAACATCTACACAGTTAAACCCAGTCCATGCAAGAGTGTACAGTAGCTCCTGTCAGATATGATGTCTTGATTCGTAGCATTATTTGTTAACTGAAATATCAGAAGAAACAGTACACAAAGTAAAAAGTCGCCAAAACAGGGCATAAAGCTTTGCAGAGTGAGTGATGTATTTCCTGAATGGTTTTGGGTACAACTGCTTCCAAATCAAGCTCCATATTTTGAAATCCCCTTCTCTTGGTGTGGAAGATGTTAAATCTCTCTACCACCTTCTCCTGCCTAAAGAGTAAGATGATAGAATGGCTACTACCAACAGATTAATAAATGTCAAGTGCTGGCAAGGATGTGGAGAAAAGGGAACCCTAGTACACTGGTGGTGGGAATGCAGACTGGTGCGACCATTATGGAAAATAGTATGGAGTTTCCTCAAAAAATTAAATATGGAACTGCATTTGACCCAGTGATCCCACTTCTGGGAATATTTCCTAAGAAACCCAAAACACCAATCAGAAAGGATATATGCAATCCTATGCTCATAGCAGCACAATTTATAATAGCTAAGATCTGGAACGAGCCCCAGTGCTTATCAGTAGACAAGTGGATAAAAAAGCTGTGGTACATTTACACCATGGAATACTATGCAGCTGTCAAAACAAAAACAAACAAAAAAAAGGGATCTCTTACCCTTTGAGACAGCATGGAGGGGGACTGGAGAGTATTACGCTATGCAAAATAACCCAGTCAAGAGAAAGACAAGTATCACATGATGTCACTCACATGTGGTTTCTCATGAACAAAATAAACTGATGAACAAAACAGATCCAGAGATCCAGAAACATGGAACCGACTGAGGATTCTGAGGGAAGAGGGGAGGATTGGAAGAAATTAATCAAAGAACTTGTATGCATATATGCATAATCCATGGACACAAACAATAGTGTGATGAAGGCCTGGAGGGGGGCGGTGACGGGTGGAGGGGATTAATGGGGGGGAAGTGGGGGACATCTGTAATACTTTCAACAATACAGTTTGTGGTTTTCTTTTTGTTTTTTAAGCAAAAAGAGTAAGGTGAGATTTACAGGCAACAGGCTGGGATGGAGGATATGGTCTCTTCCCATTCCTTTCCAGGAAACAAGACCCAATGTAAGGCAGCTAGTGCCACTCTTACTCATGAAAACATACACCCAGGAAATAAGAACTCATCCCCATCTCTCCCCTCCCTAAAAAAGCAAAAGGCTCAAAGATCGGCAACACCGCCGCCAGAACCGCCAAATGGCAACAGCCGGGGCCGCCCGCCTCTCCCAGGCGCCCGCCGGGCGGCGGGCACTGGGCGCAGGGCAGCTGGTCCCTCCGCCCCGGACAGGCGCGCCGGCCCCATCAGGTCCGCGTTCCTCCGCAAACAGGACCGGGCAGGAGGGGAGCGGGAGGACCGCCGCGGCGCCGCTCCAGCCGCCTCCCCGGCGCAGCGGCGCCCCAACACCCCCCGCCGCCCGCACCTGAGGCGGCAGCCCGGACCCGGCGGGGGCGCGGAGCGGTCCGCACAAAGTTACTCACTGGGAAGGCGCGGCGTCCGGGGCGCGCTCCGGCTCCGGGCGCCCCCCGCTTGGCTCTCCGTGGCCCGCTGCGGGAGCCGGGAGCGCGGCGGCCTCCGCTCGGCCGGGGATCGCTGCCGCCGCCACCGCCGCCTCGGCCGCAGCAGATTTGCTGGCAAGAAGCAAACTCTGGCTAAGACTTCACTTCTCAACCGCCCCTGCTGCCTTCTCGGGGGGGAAACGCCAGGGCCCGGCCGCCCAACCCGACACGCACCTGGACCAATCGGCAGCAGGACAGGGCGGTAGGGGGGCGGGACAGAGAGGGTATCCGCCTATCCGAGGGCTCAGGGGGCGGGCCAGGCCGGAGCCGTCACTCCCTGGTTAGAGTGCGCCCACTCCGCCCCGCGCCGCCTACCCTCCCCCACCGCTCTCGCCGGGGCTCCCGGATCACCTGGCCTGAGACCGGCTCCTGGGGTGTCTGCGCTCCGCCGCGGCCGCGAGGGGCATTGGACAGTGCGGGAGGCAGGGAATGTCTAGGGGAATTCAGGAAGAACAGGTGGCCCGGGGGAGCAGAAATGTAGGTGTGCTGGGCGAAAGGACAGCTGGGCAAGGTGGTGGGGACTGGGGTGGCCGGAAGGAGAAGGGCGAGCGGAGCCGGAGAGCGAGGAAGGGGAGGCTGTTAGCGAAGAGTCACTGAGGGGACGGAGAGCCAGTCTGGCTGGAAAGGTGGCCGAGGCGGGGGAGGGGAAACCTGAGGACAAAGGTGAAGAAGTTGATCCAAAGCGAGGGAGCACGTCCTCCTGGGGCAGAAGAGACCCTAGGAGAGAAAGAATGGGAGGGGAAAGTTTCCTTCCAAACTCTCACTTTCCTCGCAAAAGATCAAGACAAACGCTTGTCCTTTGACCCAGCTGAGATGTGTCAAGAGATCCTCGATGAGACAAATACCGTCTTAAACCTATCCTATTCTATTGTGAAATGTATTAAGATGCTTTATCAACTATAACTTAAGCCTGACGTTCCACGAAAGCCCCCCAAGGGCTGGAGTCCTGCGCGAGAGAAACACCGTCCCCCGTAGGTCTGGCGGCAAGTCAGAAAGAAGCCGGATTTGGGCCCTAAGTGGGCAGGTGATCTGGGGGAGGCCGGTGGGCCGCGCCCCCTCCGCCCACACCCGGGGTAGGGTGCGGTGGGCCGAGTTCCAGCGCCCACAGGGCCGTCTCGGCCTCGGGGGTGGGCGGGACCCGACCCCACCTGCCCCGCTAGCTCAGCGGCGGAACCCGCTCCGGAGCTCCGGGAGCCGCCCGGCCCGCCCCGCCCACCGCGCGCCGGGGGAGGGGGGAGGGGCGGTGTGGGCGGGGCCTGGCGCCGCGGCGGCTCCTCCCCCCTCCTTCCGCCTTCCGCTCCTCCGTCGGTCGGTTGTTCCTTCCTTCCTGCTTCGGTCGCACGTTTCGCGATATGGGGCAGAGCGTCCCGTCCCTCTGCTCCACTTGAACATCCTGGAAGCCGGCCCCGCGATGGAGGAGGACCAGGAGCTGGAGAGGTAACGGCCGAGGCGGCGGAGGCGGAGTAGGCGGGCGGGAGGGGCGAGCCGCTCCGGGCCCCGGAGCCAGCGGCCGAGGAGGGCCCGTGGCCGCCGGGTCTCGGCCTCTGCGTCCAGGCCGGGCCCGAAGGCAGGGGGCGAGAGAGGAACGGGCGTCTGGGCGGGAGGGAGGGCTCCGATTGGGAAAAGGAGAGGAGACAGAGATGTGTTGGAAGAGAAACGCTCAGAACACTAGGTACCAAGGAGGGAAGGCAAGTTGTGAGAAATCCCCAGACTGCCCGTCCCCAGTTAGAACAGCAAGAGGAAATCAGCCACCGTGTGAACTCACACACCAGGCCCACGTCCCTGCATGTGGCCCAACTCCCTCTTCTGGGCTCCGAGTTCTCTTTCTCCCTTCTGCCTGATTGACCTCTCTCTCACTTACCGTTCTAGTTTCCTTACCTCGTCCAAATGGAAGCCATAGTTGGGCCTGCACGTTGATCATCTGTAGCCTCTAATTTTATAACAATCTGCTTCTCTACGCCTTCCAACTAACTCCCTTTTCATTCTCTTGCAAGACTACCTTATTCTAATCCTATTCTTGTGATTCTTTCAAAAGACTATTTTAGCAAACATTTAACTTTGTGTTTTAAGAAAACTCCCTTTTGGCCATGTAGATAGTCAAATGGACTGGGGAGAAAATGGAGGCAATAAATTAGGTGCTTATTGATAGAAAATGTGAAAACAGGAAAATAAGGGGCTAATGTAATAGTTTTATGTAATTGGAGTGCCTCGGGTATTATTGTGTTGCAATTGTGATATAGTAAATGAAAAAGCTACTTACAAAACCATATTCAGTATGATCTCATTTTTATAAAAAATATGTACGTAGAAAAATGTCTGGATTGAAGACCTCAATGGCTGAAGGCGAGAGGAAGACAGCTCTGGAAATGGTCCAGGCAGCTGGAACAGATAGACACTGTGTGACATTTGTTTTGCACGAGGAGGACCATACCCTAGGAAATTCTCTTCGTTACATGATCATGAAGAACCCGGAAGTGGAGTTTTGTGGTTACACTACAACCCATCCATCAGAGAGTAAAATTAATTTACGAATTCAGACTCGAGGTGCTCTTCCAGCTGTTGAGCCATTTCAGAGAGGCCTGAATGAGCTCATGAATGTCTGCCAACATGTGCTGGACAAGTTTGAGGCCAGCATAAAGGAATATAAGGACCAAAAAGCAAGCAGGAATGAATCCTCATTCTAGTCTGTGTGCACTGTAGAGGGAGGAACATCCTCCGGGATATTCTCTTTGTGATCTTGCAAAACCTAGAAATAGAAGTTTATGGTTACAACATGATCTGCCCTTCAGAAAAGTGTGATTCTAGCTGTTAACTCATTGCAGCTATGGAAATCCTTGCAAGAACCTTTGTATTCTAATAAATTCCCTCTTTAAACTAATTTGAGTGGTTTCTGTTCCTTGATCCACAAGGTTGACTATTAGGGGGTATTTGTTTATTAATTGATCCAACATTAAAAGTGAGGAAACAAAAGCCCAGGCCTAGACAAGGACTTTTATTAAGGGAATTAAAAGAAATACGCGTTTATGGCTGTGATTGTGGGGAAGGGATATGTGCAGTAAAGCATGACCCCAGATAGGCTCTGGTTGTTAATTCATGAGAAAATTCTTTGCTGTAATTGGTAGATAGGTAAAGGTGGGGGATTATTTGAAAAAACTGAGAATTCTGGTTTCACATAGGAATTTTAGGTAGTATCAAGCTCCATCATATTTATAGGATAGATATCAGTTTGCTTTATTTTGACATAAGGAAGTCAAGAGAATTTAATTCTATTAGAGAGGAAGGTTACTGGGATGACTAGATAACCTTTAAAGTTCTTAAGTATCTTTATACAATATATATATATATGTGTGTGTATATTATATATACATTTTTTTTATTGATTTTTTACAGAGAGTAAGGGAGTGGGATAGAGAGTTAGAAACATCGATGAGAGAGAAACATCAATCAGCTGCCTCCTGCACACCCAAAGTACATGCCCTTGACTGTAATCGAACCTGGGACCCTTCAGTCCACAAGCCGATGCTCCACAGATTTTGGCCAGCCCTTAGGTACCTTAAGTATAGCCCATGGTTACATAAAAGAGGCAGTATTTGAAAGAAAAGGCAGGAAGAAAGGAAATTCCATATGGCCAAAATTATTTTTAAAAAATAAGATACCAGTGAATCACGTCTAAGAACTGTCCTATTTCTTCAAACTTGATTAATATCTATCCTATGCCAACTTGATTATTAATTTATCCAAAATGTCTGTCAACTTTTGAACCCGAGCACCCCCACCCCAGTACTTTATGCTTTGTTCCTTCTTCCTGGGGGACTCTTCTGTCATACTGCAGTGTAGGTAAGAACTTATATGTAAGACTCCCCCATCCTAATTTGGGTACTTGCCTGCACTTTCATTATACTCTGTTTCCTAGTCTTGGATTTACTATGTGATTATTTGTGCTTACGTTGTCTACCATTATACCAACTTGTAGCACAATGCCTAATAGGTAGTGGACCATTAGTAAATACCAGATGAATCCATGTAGCTAGTTATGATATGTAGCCTTTAATTCACTCATATCAGACCTCTTCTATTGACCTGCCACAGAACCTGAATTTTCTACATGCAACTTCTTTATATATATATATATATATATATATATATATATATATATATATATATTTTTTTTTTAATATATTTTATTGATTTTGTACAGAGAGGAAGGGAGAGAGAGTTAGAAGCATCGATGAGGGAGAGTCATCGACTAGCTGCCTCTTGCACACCCCCTACTGGGGATATGCCCGCAACCAAGGTACATGCCCTTGACCGGAATCGAACCCAGGACCTTTCAGTCCCCAAGCCGACACTCTATCCATTGAGTCAAACCAGTTTCGGCAATATATTTTGTTTTTATTGATCACCTAGCATATGCCAGGTTCTAGGATAGATATGCTAGTGGATGAAACACAGGTCTTATTCTTATGGAGTATACATTATAAAAGGAGTAAAAATTTTTTTACATTATATTTGTGGGGGTAGGAGGAGAAAGAAAACATGAGAGGAGATTCTACTGTAAGTATGGAAGTAGTGAAGATCTTCCAGAAATTATGGGGAGCAGACCTAAGCTGTCAGTCAGACCTCAGTGCTTCCATGGAGGCAGGAGAGGCTCCCTCCATCACCATTGTGCTTGCCAGCTGTGAGCCCTGCTTCTGGCTGAATGGCGCTCCCCCTGTGGGAGTGCACTGACCACCAGGGGGCAGCTCCTGCATTGAATGTCTGCCCCCTGGTGGTCAGTGCACGTCATAGCTACTGGTCATTCTGCTGTTTGGTTGATTTGCATATTAGCCTAAAAGGCTAAGCAACTGTTTGACCAGCCAGTAGGTGTGACATGCACTGACCACGAGGGGGCAGATGCTCAGTGCAGGAGCTGCTGAGCTCAGTGACTTGGCAGCAACAGTTCTCGGGTGACGCACATCAGAACCAGAGAGGAGGGAGCCCGGTTCCTCGAACTTCTATCATAGAGAAAGGGTGAATAGTGATATTAAAACATTTCTCCTAATTAATTTCCTTTCAATGTACCGAATCTGTGCACTGGGCCACTAGTATATAATAATTTGCTTACCTAGCACTTTCCATTTTCCAAAGCACTTTACAAATTACAAA